TGGGGCTGGGGCTAGCGGGCGGCGGCGGCTCCGCCTCGATGGTGGACACGTCGCGGCCCCGCAGGAGCGCGCGGACCTCGGCCGCGAAGAAGCTGCGGAACGGCGGCGGCGGCGGCGGCTCCCACGACCCGTCCATGGCACCCGGCAGCCCTTTGCGCTTCTACACGCTACGTGACGGCGGGCGCCGGCGGCCCCGCCTCGCTTTCATACGCCGCTCGCGCCGCCATTGGCCGCTCCCTCACCAATCAGCGGCCTGGGTCCCCCTGTACCAACGCGACTCCGGCGCTCGCACCGTGGGCTGGCCAATGAGGACGCGAGCTGGCTCCTGGCCAATGGGAGCGCCGGGCTCCTCCCCACCCGGAAGTGGGCGGCCGGCGCCGCGGCACGTGGGCGCTGTCACTGCCGGGGGTGGGTGTTTCCCGCGGATGCGAGGCCCCGGCCCGCGACGGGGGCGGACAGCCCCTTCACCAGCCGGGCGCTACTCCCGCCTGGCCGCGCAAGCCGGGTGGCTGGAGCCTGCGGAGCAGGGGCCGGGAGGAAGCGCTGCTTCTTCCCGTGCCATTATCGCCCGTCCCGCCGGAGGCTCAGACCCCCGCCGGCCCGAGCCCGGGGACGGAGCCAGATCGACCCTTCAGCGAGCCCCGCGCTGAAGAAAATACTATTTTTTTCACGCGGTATTAATAATACGTAACTTTACACGTTTGTTTTATAACATGTAAATAAGCACAGCTCGGCCCCTTCCTCCCTCCATGCCTGCGCGTTACTCCGGCCCTGCCGGGGGACTCTCATGCCAGCCAGTTCCCCATGCCCACTCCTGGCTAGCTCAGGCAGCTGCAGCCTGTGGGGCGTTGCAGCACGGCCGTTCACAGGACAGACCCCAGCGCGTGCCCCTCTCAGCACCCCCGCCCCCGTGAGAACCCCTCAGGGACGGACGTAGGCAGCATGGCTTCACAGTGGTTTAATATGAACAGAACTCAGACATGACAGCAGACAGTAGATTGAAGACAGTTGCTGAATTAAAGCCCCGCAGCAGGATATATACACAGAAGAAAGAGCCTTCAATCTCCCAGCACTTGTGCATGGACGAGGGAGTTTAGAAACATGACTGATGGGGAAGGCAGCAGGTTGCTTCTGACAGTGAGCAAGGACAGACTGGAAACGCGGCTCCATCCCAAAGCGGCACCTGGGCAGGGCGGAGGGGAGCACAGCCTGAGCCTGGGACCCCTCCTCGGATTGTGTCAGTCAGAGCCACTCCTGGCTGCCAGGACTGGACTCCTGCCACGCTGCATCCACAACAGCCCGGGGAGCCGCTTCCACCAGCCTGCGTCAGCGACACTCCGGGTTCCCGGCCCTGCCCCCCCGACTGCACCAGAGTTCCTGCCCCCGTCCCACCACCACACCCGGGAAAGGGGGCCCTGGGTGAACAGCTCAGCAGACGAGCTCCCCAGCAGGAGCCTGGGCATCCCCACGGACAGGTCAGGTCACTGCAGATCAGTACAAAAGGCAGAAGCCGCCTCTGTCCAGAGCCCCTCCAGGTCCCCCTCTGCACACGGGTCCCCCATCCACAGCAAGCAACTGACTTTGGAGAGCACAGGCAAGTGCACCAAGAAGCAAATCCATGAAGGGATCGGCTCACAGCCTTCTCCACCCTCTGAGGAAAGTGCTTTTAAAGAGCTGCCTGAATAGTCCATGTCTTTGTGCTCGCACTAGTAAGTGCCTGGCCTCAAAGCTATTGCAGGGTGGGGGAGCAGCAGCGAGGCCCAGGGAGGGGCAACAACCTGGGTACCTTACAACTGGTAGCACATCTAGTGCTAATTTGGATCTAACAGCTCCTGCCCCAGACTGATTGCAAGAGCGTTCCCAAGGGGGGCAACCAGCAGTCAGCACCACTTAGTCTGGGAGTAGCAGTGCCCCACTCACCCTGCCAGGCCCCCCACCTCCCAAGAAGTGCAAGGAAGAAGCCAAGCCTGAGGAGATCAATGCAAGAAGCAGCCAACACAAGCCTGTTCACTGGGTGCTGCAAAGCCTGACCGGACCCCCCCCCTGCACCGGGCCAAGCCTTGGCATGTTCTCAACTCCTTAGCTACACATGCTTGCAGCCTCAGCAGCCCAGGCCCAGCTCAACCCCCTTCCAAACATACTGGACTGCTCCATGAGAGCTCAGATGATGGAGACATCCCCAAAGCTGCCAGCAGCATAGGAGAGCGCACAGGGTGGGGGAGGGATGAGCCCCGCTGTGCTGAGCAGGCCTGCGAGGCAGGAGACCTGGAGCAGGGGGTAGTGCAGAATCCTGGGCCTCAGGACCCCTGGGCAGCAGAAGAGGGAGGGTTCATGCAGGAGAGGAGGCATGGGATGGGCAAGGACCAGCTGCCTGCCCCAGCACTGGCGTTTCTGGGTAAGCCTTACTAACTCCCCAGTGCCTGCTGCCGCGGCTGACCGGTGACGATCACTGTTCTGCTCAGTTTCCTTTAGAAATGCTCGGGGCTGCGTGGACAGGGAGGCGAAGGTCACTTCGGAGCCTTCTGTGATGGGAGAGGGGCAGCTTCCATACACTGCAATAACACCTCGTGCCAGTCCCGTCACACACCTACTCGCTCCTGCCACCACAGATGCACCGCATGCGTCTTCACGCCTTCAGGCCCAGATCAAAGCCCAGCAGATCAACACTGCTGCCAGATACGAAAAGAGAAAAAAAATACTGGAGAAACTGGGAGGTTCAGAGAGAAGCTGGTTCAAAGGAGACAGATTTAGTGTAAAAATAAATGTCATTTCTGCAGGAGGGAAGGTGGAATGGAGGAAGACAGATTGCCGGGCTCTCCTACTGACGGACTTTCCCTGGGACGTAGTTCCTGTCGATGGTCTCCTCCTGCAGGAACATGTGTAAGCAGCGCTCGTTCTGTGCCAGAGGGTGTCCGGCGATTCTGCAAGGGAACCGGGAGTGGAAGTTAGTGCCTGCCCAGCCCAGGCCTCGTCTCACGCATGGGAAGCAAGGATGCACTCGCTGCCTTTGCCTGCAAGGGAGGAGGTCCCACTCCCATCTTGTTAGGGAGGGGGGAGATGCAGAACAGCCTTGCTGTGGGTCTGATCCTACCCACACAGACACAGCACCCGGTCAGTCGTGCCAGGGCCCTGCGCCACGCTCCAGCTCCTCCTTCCCCTCCCTGCAGCCTCAGCACCAGCACAAGAGGCAGAAAGGCCCAGGGGCCCGCATTGCTCAGCGCCCCGCTGGAGCCGGGCGCCAGGTTCCAGCCAGCGGCTCATGCTCCAGTGGCATGCACGCAGCCTCTGACACAGGGAAGGGGCAATACGCAGCAGTGATCCCGTCAGAGCTGCAGCTCTGCCAGCTGCACGCCGCGGCGAGGGCGGCGGATCACGACCCCCGCAGCAGCAGACCCCAGCCACGTCCCCTGCTGGCTCGTGATGCTTACTTGTTAATAAACTGTTCTAGCCCCTGCCTCCTCTCCTCAATGAAAGACTCCTCGAAGATCCCCTCGTCACCCCGGAACGGGAGCTGTCGTTTCAAGGCTTTCCCAGGCAGCGGCGGCACTACAATCTGGAAGCACGCGCCTGTGTCAGCTACGACCGAGCCTGCGCCCGCAGGCGGCAGCCGCAAGGCCACGATCCTGAGGCCATCGGCTACCCGTGGGGGCAGGGAACCCCGCCCTGCCCAGAGGGATCCAGTGGCTCCGCAGCCCAGACGAGCACGGTGGGGCCGGAGCACTCACCTTGCTGTCTCGCTCCAGCTCGTTCTTCAGCCACTCGAAGTCGCTGTATCGCCTCCGCACGCACGACTCCTTCAGCTTGAAGATGGGCAGGTTTGTCTGCAAGGCAGAGGCACGGTTACCGGCGCCAGGGCCCCGGGCTCCAGGCGGGTGCCGGCACAGGGCCTCCTGCAGCCCGGGAGCAGGAAGCGGCCGCCCCGGCTCAGACCGCCCGGCCTGTCGGGAGGCACCTGGCGGCGG